ACCGTGTGAAGGTAATATAATGAAGTACAAAAATATTTTTTCCATAGCCGCAGTTTGGCTTCTTCGAAACTTTCTTATAGAATTACGCATAAATTCAAGGAAGTTTGCGTTTTCACGACTTCTTGTTGTTTCAGTTTTAAAACAAAACACGTGGTCACGTTATTTGCAGATTAATTTATGCACGATGTTGAAATCGTTGGTGAAACATTGCGTGCTTAATTTTTAACGCGAGGAATTTAAAATCTGGTGGAAATATTACGTGTTCACTCACGTATATAATTTATCGTTACGAGTTTGGTAATTTTCGTAAATCTAGAATGTAATCATCCAATTACACTCAATAATTTCTTGTATTTACGCGACTATACCTTACTAAAGTATCAGCCTATACATGTCCCACTGCTGGGCAAAGGATTCCTCTGTACAGAGGATATTAGGGCATAGCCCACAACGCGGCCCCACTGCGGATTGGTGGACTTCACATATTTTCGAAAAATTTTTTTTGTTATTATTTAGAAAACATGCAGGTTTCCTCACGATGTTTTCCTTCACCGCATAGCACGCGATAATTCGGCAATTAATTTTGAATTTGAATTGAATGATTGGCACACCGTACTACTACATGGCATACTAACATAAACAATATTTTTACGGATTTATCGCGTTATTTTTTAATTAAATCCGACGTTTTGAAACTTATATAGGGTCACGGGACACCGCCTCAGGCGTTTGACGCCCGGTTTCTGAAACACTGATCATAGTAGCAAATAAAAAATGATATTTTGATCATTAAGAAGATCATTCTGATCACTTCAGAGAGTTCAACCATCCTTTTGGCAAATCAAATGACATTTGAAAAGCCATTTGATAGTTGGTTAGTTAATTTCTACAATGATCACTGTTTCAGAAACCGGCCGTGAGTGTCATTATTAATTCGGGTCACTACCAGTGTTGTAAATTATAAATTTTCTCCGATCCACGCAGAAGCTGTTAATCGTATCTTGTCTTGCGGTAGCGGTTTGTTGGGCCGAGATTAAAGTTTATTAATGATAGGATCCCAAGCTGATGGTTGTACATAACCATCTTCTCTATTGAGATTGGTGTGTTTTCTTATTTCAAACGACCTCGCGAATCATGCTTGGCTGGAATCTATTTTGTTTTGCAAGGATCTGCGGTCTATGAAACCTTATATAGTCTAATACATCTCTCCAAGCACCAGTTTTGTGGCAGTTATATTTTAGTTAATATTTTTTAATTTGTAATTATTGAGTATGGATGGAGAGAAATACCGACCATGTACAATGAGGTAGATAGTTAATTGACATGCTTTTCCCACTATAGTATAATCATTATATTATTAAAGCTATATTTCTTTTGGGTCGTTTGGAATAAATTATGACGGCAAAATTTGAATGATACCCCGAGCACCGACAGCTAAACAGTGACATGATAAAGTTTGTTGCAAATCGACTGACTTCAGGGCATTACCATGGTAACCAAATTAAGTTAAATCATAATCCAAAGTTATTTTATTAAATCGGCACAGGTTATAAAAATTTAGTTACTTTTCTTTCGTTACGCTAAACAAGTATAACTTCCACACACATACTTTTTCTTATATAGAATCCTTATTTCGTAGTCAATTGCTATTTTCTATTAACTTTGCAGCGTAGCTACGCTGATTAAGTCAAGCCACACGTAGCGGTGGCAAACCGCACGTAACCGCTTGCCGAGCTGCATGCAAATACCAACTGACAGAGTAAATAGCCACGGGGAAAATAACCAGCGAGTCGTGTTATTTTATTTATTTGATTATTTAAGTATCACCCTTTAGGGTATTTATATATTAAGAAGTAGAAGACGAAGAAACTTTTATTCACGGTCTAATCACAATAGATACATAAAACCTTAGAAAAAATGTAACTGCACAGTATATAAAATGATATTGAAAAAATTGAAAAGAAAAAAAAATATAATTGGAGGTCTGTGTAGAAGCATAAGACTGTGAAACGGACAAGACTCAGTGAAAGTCGAGATACAGAAAGACTGTAGTTAGTTGTGTATCTTAAATTACGAATGTCGGTATCAGAAGGATAATAAAACACATAAACACGATATTCGAAATTGATTGTATGCTGGAAAGGATATAACAATAGATGGCGCCAAGCATTGCTTCAAATGCTAAGAAAACAATGTGGAAGAATACGTTAAGATTTTCGCCGGTGTGGCAATCAGCCGTTTAGCTCAGTGGCTAGAGCGTCAGGCCGCGAATGCCGAAGACGAGGGTTCGATTCCCACAGCGGCGACAATCTTTTCGCACGTTTTCTACATATTTTAATGTTCAATCTTAAGTGCAAAGATTAGCACTATAAACAATTTAAATTTCTAAAAAAAAAATACGATAAGATATGGGTTGGTGTGGCAATCAGCCTAGTTTAATCAGTTTAGCTTAGTGGATAAAGCGTCAGGCCATGAATGCTGAAGATGTGGGTTGGATTCCGACAGCGGCGACAATCTTTTCGTACTTTTTGTACAAATTTTGATATATAAAATTAGTAAAAATAATAATTTAGGGTTTTTATATATTATACGCCCACAAGGCATAAAGTCTTTTAAACAAATTATCCCTTATATCATAAGAAATTTGAAAGTATACAAATGGCATATGTAAATGTATAATTGTATGCTTCGTAATCACCTAGTAATCGCAAAGTAAACATACAGAAATAACAAATGTTCAATTCGCAGTTTTCGTTCGAAAATATATATAAATTCATTTGCGGGATTAGGCATTTGTCTCGGGACAAAGGAGAACCTTCTCAATTAATAATAGTTTGGAACAAAGTGAACTCGACTTACTAGTGATAAATCTGTTTTGAAGTTGTCGTTGACTTGAGAACTTTCGAACGCTTAAATTGATTCTAAGAAATATGTACGTACATAAATTATGTTCCAACATTCGGTCTACCACAAGACAAAGTGATAAGTAAATGAGTTTGCTTTGAGGTTTCTGTCAGGGTTTGCCTGAGTGTAGTGGAAGCAATCCTGCCTGTCGGTAAAGCTGGTGGAGTTGGTCTTGAATTAAACCACTTTTAGACACTTAAATTTATTTTCTTGTGTACAGCCTTTAATGACACGTCTATGCGAGAGAGTTTAATACAGCGATTAGAATGGTATATAATTGCCATGCATAAAAATAATTTTAATGTTGCCAACATATTGGGGGCCACGAGAAAGTACAATAGTTATGGAATTTATACATCAAAATCTTATTTAAACATCTCAAAACTTTTTACATTTTGAAAAGAAAACAATCTTAAATTATAAAGAAAAGTGTTATCTTAAAGTAAACAAACTTAGACACTTTAAAATATTGAAAATATTACATTTTAACATAGTAATAAACTTAAACTTAAATATGAGAACTTGTGTTCTTGGCATCGCAATAAAATTACACATCCTAAGATGGCCTACGAACATATGGTCAATTATCATTATTATTAATAGTAAATAAACAAACTTTTGTTATCGACCTTACATGTGTTTTTTTATTTGAATTCATTACCTCAAAGGCCCTAATCTTATTATCCTTCCCAGGAAATACCTTTGTTATACGACCCATAGGCCACATGAGGGGAGGAGGTACACCATCATCTCGGAGTAAAACAAGATGACCTATCTTTACATTTGACACTTCAGCCCTCCATTTAGGTCTTGACTGTAAATTGTTCAAATAATGCTTATGCCATGTATGCCAGAAAGTCTGCACAATTTTGTTTGTGACATTCCACAGCCTAAGTCTAGATATTGAAATATCAGAAAGGTCATGTTCAGGATATGATACTATAGACCTGCCAGCTAGAAAATGACCTGGAGTAAGGTAAGTGAAGTCGTCGATATTTGATGATAGAGGCACTAGGGGCCTTGAGTTTAATATTGCTTCTATTTGCGTAAGAACAGTATACATGTCCTCAAATGTAAATACATTATTTCCTAACGCACGTTTCAGGTGATATTTAGTACTTTTTACTCCAGCTTCCCAGAGCCCCCCAAACACAGGTGAGTAACTAGGTATAAAGTGAAAGCGAATATTATTTTGTAAAGCATAATTATTGACCTGTGATTTGTGACTCTGAGAGCTGACTAAATTATATAAATCAGTCATTCGGTTCCTTGCGCCTTTGAAATTACTTGCGTTATCACAAAACACTTCATGCGGTAGTCCTCTACGCGCGGTAAAGCGTTTGAAGCAGATAAGAAATGTTGCGGTCGTTAAGTCTGAGGCTAATTCTATGTGAATGGCTTTAGTTGTGAAGCATACAAAAAGACAAATATAACACTTTGAGATGATAGACCTTCTTATCCTGGATTGCTTTATATCTATTGGCCCAGCATAGTCAATACCGACTTTATCAAATGGATGTGCTTGTGTAACTCTTTGTGTCGGCAAGGAACCCATTAACTGCTTCGATGATTCAGCCTTTAACCTGAAACATGTTACACATTTGTATGTTATTTTTTTTATATGTCTAAGACCATTAATTAACCAATACCTTTCATTTAATACAGATAGCAATAATTTAGGACCTGCATGCATAAGCCTTATGTGCTCACTTTGAATGATCATATCAGTTATGCGTGATTCTTTTGGAAGAATAATAGGATGTTTTTGTGTCTGCAAAAGTGAAGAGTTGTGTAGACGCCCACCCACTCTCATCATTTCACTTTTGTCTAGAAAAGGGTGCAAAGCTTTTAACACACTATTATTTATGTTTACATTATTTTTTAATAAGTTAATTTCTTTTGAAAAGTATTTATATTGTTCACGTTTTATTATCGATAATAAAGAGTTATTTATTTCTTTGCTTGTTAAAAAACTAGTTTTTATCCTTTGATTATTATCTTTTATTTAAGAATTGTAATAAAACCGCCATACATATGCTAATACTCTAGTCATTTTATGTTTATTAGAATACCTTTCAAAGATATCAATTGTATTATGCACTGCTGGAAGCACAATGGAACTGGAAAGCGTGGAGTCTACCAGTGAAACTTTCATTTCCAGTAAGCAAGTAGGTAGATCGGGGTTATTACAGTATTCATACTTATCGTTTTGCAGGAATAAGGGCCCTGTCCACCAGAGCATGTTGTCTGCAAGCTCCTGGGGGCTCACGCCGCGCGTGATGAGATCCGCAGGGTTGTCGCTCGTTCTGACGTAGTGCCAAGTCCAACCGGCAGTTAACTGCGCCACAACTCGGATTCTGTTAGCTACATAAGCATTCAGCTGCGTCACCTGAGTCCCGATCCATGCAAGGACTATTTTAGAGTCAGAAAATAAATATATATTTTGCAAGCTTATCTTTGTGTTTATGGCTTTGTGAACTTTCACCATTAGCTTTGCAAGCAGAAGTGCTGCATTCAGTTCTAATCGGGGCACAGTTAGTGGCTTATTAAGTGGATTAACACGAGACTTGGAGCAAAGTTAGTATAAGCTTGCTTTACCTTCTTGTTTTACTCGCAGGTATATACAGCAGCCATAAGCTATTGAACTCGAAGCATCAGCAAAACCCACAAGCTCGAGAGACCGTGCACATGCAGTAGGAACTACTCTTTGCAATGTAATTGGTGTCATAATATCTAAACTTTTAGAAAATTGTACCCACTTGTTCCTCAGATCACCTGTCAAGGGAGAATCCCAATCTATTTCAGTAGCCCACAGTGTCTGGATAAAGCTTTTAGCAGTCACTATTATTGGTGCTATAAACCCAGGGGGGTCGTAGAATTTTGAGATGTAACTGAGGATTTCTCTATTTGTTATTGGTCTGCCACCAAACTTTTCAGGACAGCTCATTGTAAAACAGTCATTCTTTACATTATAGTCAATGCCCAAAGTTTTTAAATTAAAATTTTGTTTTTCCAAATCAATGTTATCAAAATGTTGTTCATGTTTGGGAATATCTTGCAAAATTTGAGGAATGTTAGATGCCCACTTGTGCGTTTTAAAACCACCCCTTTTTAACAATTCAATCAATTGATTTTTTGCTTCTAATGTATTATTTAAATCTGAGTCTGCATATAGAACATCATCAACAAATGTTGAGTTTTTTAAAATGGAAGAAGCAAGAGGAAGCTCATCTTTGTAGACAGTTGCCAACTCATCCAGACACCGTGTAGCGAGGAAACTGGAGCTTTTTAGACCATAGGTGACCGTCGTCAGCTGGATGCATCTGATCTCGGTGTTGGGATTCTCTCTCCACAGGATATTCTGTAATGAGGCATGTTTTGGATTTATAACAACACATCTAAACATTTTCTTTATATCCGTAGTGAAGATATGATCACCAAAGCGAAATAGTAATAGTATTTCAAATAAGATATTAATACTGTTGATACTCACGTAGGCTAGAATAAGACTATTATACTTGTATATTATATTGTACCCTGATATTTTTGAAAAAGAGCAACTGTTGAGTTTCTTGCCGGTCTCTTCTCAACAGAAACCGCTTTCCGAACCGGTGGTACCTTACGAACCTATACACATAATCTTTGATGTAAAATTTGACGATTCATAAGAGCGCGCAAGCGTCTATTTGAATAAATATATTTTTGATTTTTGATTGATTAAGTCTTTCCGTACAACAGCACCATTAAGTAGAATATTGTTTAGGGATATTTTTTTTTTTAGTTTTCATAGAACCATCAAACACTACCCTGAATTTTGTTGATTTACTGTTCTCATTGATGACCGCATGATGAGGTAAAAAGTAAATAGGGTCAGTTTTAAAGTCATACTGCCTAATGTCTATATAATGGCCATGTCCTAACTGAATAATTTCATCAATGAATTTTTTATATTGCTGAAACAATGTTTCATCTTTATGCAGTTTTTGTTCCAAGTTTACAAACCTCTGGAGTGCTAGATTAAATGAATCACCTAGATGTTGATTTACCTGCTCTAAAGGAACCTTCACTGGCAAATCTACTTGAAAATGCTGATTAATTAATTGCACAGATTTTTTAAATATGTCTTCACAAAGTTCAGACTCTGTGGCATTTTCATTGAATATTTGAGGAGCCTGTTCAGTATGCCAAAATTGCTTAATTGTTTTGCTGATGCTTGAGTCACAAGAAGTGCATAATAGGGACACCTGTTGTGAGGGTGTGTGAATTTTGTTCAGTATATTGCCTCCTAATATATGACCAAATTGCGTGTTGATAATACACGGAGCTGAGTTGGAGCTAGCAGCATCCACTGTATGCAGCTTTTTTTCAGGCAGGAGGATAGTATGGACATGGATGAGAATGTGCTGCAGAGGTAGACACATTTACCGAGGCCCTTACACCGACTGCCCTGACCGAGTTGCTCGAAGAGGGATGCCGTTGGTTTCCATTGGCGTCCACGGTTTCCAGTGCCAAAGCTCTCTTTTGCAGAAAATCTATAAATTCTACCAATGTTGGGGACTTCTGAATGTCCCGGTCCATCTGAAAAGCCTTTGCTGTATAAGAATCTATCTTTCGCAAAAGAATACAGACTTGGGGCGATGGCGCTTGCCGCGTTCTATTAATTTTCTTTTCGAAGGACCAATGTCAGGGTTTGCCTGAGTGTAGTGGAAGTAATCCTGCCTGTCGGTAAAGCTGGTGGAGTTGGTCTTGAATTAAACCACTTTTAGACACTTAAATTTATTTTCTTGTGTACAACCTTTAATGACACGTCTATGCGAGAGAGTTTAGTACAGCGATTAGAATGGTATATAATTGCCATGCATAAAAATAATTTTAATGTTGCCAACAGTTTCTCGCATACTTTATCAATAAGGTTTCGGAATCATCATTATTACTACCATAAATATGGGGTAGTATAGAAAAAATTCAGTTTTTTCAACACACCATTTCCTTTGTTTGTAAAACATGATCAATCTGTCTCCAATGAAGGTTTTCAAAAAAAGGAAAAATATGTGCATTGTTGCTTGCCTCCAATAGCTCAAGTTTCATTAAAGATATTGCGTGGAAAAATAATAATAAAAGTAAAGTAAAGTAACACATGCCCGCCCCACTCACTACTGGGCAAAGGCCCCCTCAGTATAGAGGGTAGCAGGACATAGTCCACCACGCAGCCCCAACTCGGCGGACTTCACGTATCTCCGAAATATTTTTTTTTTATTTTTTTTTATTTTATTTTTATTATTTGCGAACAATCGCAATAGTATATATAATATTAATAGTTAAATATATTAAAATTAATATTATTAATTAAACTCACAAAAATGAGGCCGTGTGACTTCCCAGGACGAACCTGCCCATTGTTGATGTTTTTTAAAGTAAAATTTTCATTATAGTCTTTGTAATGTAAGAACGGTTGAATAATTTAAATAAAGGAGAAAATGCAGAGAATAAAAAAAGGAAAAATTAAAGAGTACTTAAATTAAAGTGAACATATTTTGGCGAAAGGATGATTTATTCAGTCTTATAGATTATCGAATTTTTACAACATATATGTATATGTACAAATATTAACAGAACTATACTAAAGTCGACCCAATATATCTATTAATTATAACTAAAGTCCATTGTTCATATCCGATATTTCATTAGTACTCTACATGACACGATTCTCAGTTTTTATAAATTGTAAATGTAGTATCTAAAGATCTCATATTAGTATTATGCTTTACACTGTTAACACGTTTGGATATAAAACTATTATATAAGTTATGTTATGTGGTATTACCCCAAATCATAGATGTTAATTGAACAGTTGAATTTAATAAAATGGTTATATATTATGTAGTTCTGACGTTCTTAGATACTGATTAATCCACACTTCGCTAAAGTCATAATTGATGAAGAGGCATTTTTTATATATGAAAATATTGAGACTGATCCAACATCTCTCAAAATAATAACTTTAGACTGATTTTGATGGGAGCAGTTGAATGAGATAATAATGGATAATTACACTACCATTGTACCAGTTTTAGAATTAATTTAGTCAGAAATATATTGTATCTTTAGATCGATCGGCAAAAGTCCTCCATTTTTACATGTCAACATGTTGATCGTATTGAAACGGTTAACAGTGCAGCGTGCGTAAAGATCCGGTGCACTTATTTCTGACCCCTCAACCTGACGGCGTCTGTGAAGCGTACTTTGCAATTAGCGACGGCCATATTGGGCGTCAGGAAGTCGGTTACTGTTTTGACACCAGGCTTGACCGGGCGGTCGAACGGGAAACCCATCGCACGGCGGTCCGGGTATTTGCGGTCACGCAGACCACAGTAAGACGCGGCGTTCTTGCACGAGCTGACTACGTTTTGTTTGATCTGGTGAAAAATGATTATAACCCTTTAAAAAACTTTTATACAAAATAGGAGATATACTTCTATGAATATATTTAATACTAGCTTTCACGTCATGATCTCGGATAAGCACAAGTAAAGTAAGCAAAGCTTTTTTATGTGTAATGGTGAAAAGTGAGCGGTTCACCTGATGTTAAGTGATTTTTTTCTTTTTTTATGTGAGGGAGTGGCAAACGAGCTGGCGGTTGAGCAGATGTTAAGTGATAACCGCCACCCATGGACATTTGCAAATGCGGAGTGGAACAAACTTGTCCAGTTCTGAATTAGTCTATAAACATTTCTTTCATTCACAATGTCAACCCAAAGTGCGCAAAATTGACAACTCCACAATTTCATTGGTCGAGCGAAAGCGTGCGGTCATACGCTTTATGAATTATTTGGCAAGTACATCGGCTTTTGGTCACAAGAGATAACGTGAAACTGACAAGAGCGCCAAAATATGTGACTAAGCTCAAAAGTATATAAAGGATCACTAAGGGGCCTAATAAAAGTACGGAAATTGTTATGTGAGAGTACAGGCACAGATAAATGAGGCTACTTGGGAACTATAATCTATTTATATTTACATTAGATTCACCTAAGCTTAGGTATGTTTCGACTATATTTCATATATAATTTTATATAATTATTGTATACAAACTGTTGCCCGTGACCACGTCTGCGTAGAATAGGCTGAAGGCGTAACATTCAGGCAGAAAGACAGATATACATAAAATATAGGCATAAGCTATATTATCGTAAAGTTTCATTAAAATCCGTTCAGTAGTATTTTCGTGAAAGAGTAACAAACATCCATCCATACATACAAACTTTCGCGTTTATGATATTAGTTAGGATAAGGATAATATAATTGTGATTAAAAATACATTAGTATCTGAATAGCAAACTTACGCCGTCGTCAGCCCAGTTGGACACCATTACGAAGAGGACCATCGGGTACCCGCTTTTGGTGCCTTTAGGCAGTAGCATGTGGTGGGGCCAGCCGCAACCGCAGAAGTCAAACTCGGCGGCGGCCAAGGAACCGGCTTCGCCAGGGCGTGCGCTCTGATCCATGAAGGTGCGCTCGTAGGGAATGGTGACGGACGAGTCAACGCTACGACGGCGGATGGTGTTCTTACCAGCATGCACTGAGATAGATGAGAAAAGTTGAGCAGAGAATTTTTAATGAGTGTAAACTTCATCAACTGACAACGAAAGCAATTTGATGAAAGCGTTTAGTATTAATGAAGAAGGAATTAACCAAATGAACAATAAAAGAAGAGAAATTGACAGTAAAGTTAATAAAAGTTTTGAAAAAGCCCTAAATGTGAATGTGCAGAGAATTTACAAATATAGCCTAATATATATATATATATATATATATTATAATGCAATAACTGAATTATCAATCAAATCATAGCAAAGTCCTCTTGTTTTGAAAAAAAAACTATCAGAATTATCTGCTGCTTCAAAATAAAAATATTGTGCATTCCTACGAGTACATCATCAACATCCACATTCATTCATTCTACATCTGCCGCGCTTTGTTAGACTTTGGTAATGTCAGGTAAATTTTTCATTTCATATTTTGCAAACTTACAGTCCTGCGAAAACTTGTCCAGTTCGATCATGAGTTTTCTCTGTTCGTTGAATTCGAACGGCTTCCCCGCTTCGTCGGCTATCGGTGCCATGAATATACGCACTGTTCCCGTAACACCCTTGCTAGTTGTGTTGTCCACCTCGATGCTGATGACAAATTTAATTTAAATTGATAAAACCTATAAATCTGAACGAGGTGAGCTCGGAACTTGTTCCAAATTTAAATGAAATTCAAATTTTTAAATAATAGAAATTTAAATTGTTTATAGTGCTAATCTTTGCACTTAAGATTGAACATTAAAATGTTATCTAGTCCCAAACCAAGCAAAGCTTAGCTTTTCTTTTGTAAATAAATAAATGTAAAAATATCTAAATAAACAACCAGAAACTAAATATCATTTGTGATCATCACAAAATATTTTTCCAGTAGTGGGGATCGGATACACCCTTAGTGCAAGAGAAAAACTTAATTGTGGAAACATTATTACATTGAAAAGTTGTGAGACCATTACTTTTATGATGTTAATAAAAATGAATTTGTCGTGGTCTTGTGGTACGTATCACTTTCTGTATACTCCATAATAGAACTTCTATTGAGTATAATAGATTCCCGTGGACAGTAGATTTATTGTCAGAAATAATGAATGAAAAAATTATTATTTCAATCAACATTTCGTAACCTTTTATTGGTATTTGATGATTATGATATGATGGGTCCCAAACACCTTGTTCAAGCACAGTAACTCGCTTCTCGACATTTGCTGGGGCAGTCTCCAGGACTATTTTTAGGGGAACGCACATCAGTGCCTTCGATAGCCTTAGTACAGCAGAGTGTACACTCTCCTGTACTAAGTGCTTTCAAAATCAAAATCAAAAATATATTTATTCAATACGGCTGTCCGTCTTTACTACGGCTGTCCTTAATAATGTTCACTTTGATGAAATTGGGTCGTATATTTTTTGCATATTGTAAAAGCCTCGTATTGGCCACCGCAGTATAGGACGACATGCGGAAATTCGATGAATGCAGGTGGTTTAGGATCGTGGTTCGTGGCAGTCTGTGGCGGAGGCCTACCTACGTTGTGCCAGAGCTGTGGACTTAGATGATGATGATTATAACGAAACCTATGTTCCTCAATGGACTTAAACAGGCAATGACGATGATGATAACGAAATGAGCGAAAGTGTTAAATCAACTATGATTTGGAAAGAATCGCTTCTACGTACGACCCGAATGGCGTAGTGGGTGTCTTCTGCGCCAGACCTGCCTCCTGCGCCAGAGGGTGTGGGTTCGACCCGAGCGAAATTTTCTCACTATATCGTGATCCGTTACCGAATGGTAATGTAATAATGTGAAAATTAGCATTTAAAGTGCAATTAAGAGGGTGAGGGTTCGATCCCTACAACTGGAAAAATATTGTGTGATGAACATAGTGTTTTTCTAGTGTCTGGGTGTTTTTATCTGTATAATATTGTATTTATTTACAAAAGAAAAGTACGTTTAAGTATGTTTATCAGTTTTCTAGTACCCATAGTACGAACGTTACTTAGTTTGTGACTAGAAAATGTTGGGTAAAAATGAGTCCTAAAATACTTATTATTATTATTTATTATTCGATGATACTTACACGTAATCGAATTCGTCATGCTGGAGATGAGTAAAGCGCGCTAAAACGCTGCCACTTGGCATGAAGTCCAGACCTCGGCCCAGTTCCAGTGTACTCTGTTCCCACTGTGTCGCGAAAGTGTTCTTCCCCGCTTTGCCCTCCACGGCGATGGAAGACACGCGTATACCGGGGAATTCCAGCTGCGAGAGTGAATATGCTTTTACAAAGTAATTAAAGGATATAACAAAAATTGAAATATATAACAAATATTGACATATATCTGTAGGTATCTACAGGATTTTTTATATGAATAATTGGCAAGAGAGCAGGCGGTTCATCTGATGTTAAGTGATTACCGCCGCCCATGGACATCGACAACACGTGACAGGTTGCAAAGGCGTTGTCAAACATTAATTTCATTAGTTTCAAACAAAGTTTTGGGACCCGGTTACCTAAGTTTACTTTAAATTATATTCTGATTCATGTTACGAGATGTTTTTTTCCGATTTCCGATGTTTTATATAAAATAAATAATATAAAAAAATACTTAGGTCTTTCACGAACAGAATATTTTTCATTGTGCTCACCTTGTCATTTCCATAAGGAGGCAATTTGTTCTTGTACAGGACGAAAACGTCATCAACGAATTTGTGCCAACGGTAGAATAATGGATCTCGCATTGTGGTCGCAGGATCGCCCATAACGCCAAATCGCTCCTTTTGGATCAACCAATAAAATGTTTCATTTTACAAATAAAACAAACCATCGAGGAGAATAAGATATACGTTATAGTGGTTCTGTAGGCCCCTCCAATAAGGATCTGGATTCGACTGACTTTAACTGTATGACGAAAAACGAGCGTTTGTAAACGCTCCAAAATTTAAGAACCACTCGTATTAGAAGTAGAAGAAGAGATGCTTTGTAAATTAAACAATAAAATTTACCAAATAACGATGGTCGGGGTCGTGAACGTAGGACATGAAGATGTGACCCATATTATGTAAGTCACCGTAGTACATGCGATTGGGGCTGATGATGGATGATTCCATCAGGTCACCGAGGACGTCAATGCCGGTCTCCTCGTCAAGTGGAACTCGATTCCCGTTTGGCTGCGAAAGATTTAAATTGACTTACAATAATACAGGTAAAGTAAAAAGTAACAACGTATACTTGTCTCACTTCTGGATAAAGACCAGTCCACCATGCGACCTTGGATTGGCAAATCATAACATATCGTCGAAATATTGGCACTTTAAATTGCGATTAACAATTTCACTGTAGCCGGCACTGGGATTTGAACGGAACCTGCAATATTTAATTAAAAGCGAGCACTCGATACTGTGCTGACACGCCTCCAATTATTGTGATTAAAGTATCACATTCAATCACAGTTATAACTATAATCTTAACGAGTATTGTTGTAGTAGAGATCTCGATGTATATTTGTATAATATCGTAAGTTCCTTGCTTAAGATATACATAATATGGCAGCTTGTGGAATATTATCTTTGGTACCGATTTGTTAAATTAACTGTTGTTATCTTATCAAATGGGTTTTCAAGCTGTAAGTATTAAATTACCATAAGAATGGAGTTACTCTCAATGGCCTCAAGGATTCGCTCTCTCCACAGCTCCATTTCAGAGACTTCGCTCTTGATTAGGTCTACGGGTCTTTCCAAGTCCTGCAGCACTGAACCGGCAAACCTTTAATATAATAGCCACGACGTTAATGGCATATTTCTAGCATTTTCCCTGGTGTAATAAATACTCTCAAGGTTTCAGTAATTGATGTTTTTTTATAATAATTATTGACTGTCTCTCTCGTTGTGATTTTTTAAAATTAAATCATATTATGTGTTTGGTTCTTTTGAAAATGAAAAGTTGGTTAGCGAGCAGGTGGTTTACATCAGGGCAAGTGATTACTGCCGCCCATGGACATTTACAAGACAAGCAGTTGCGGAAGCGTAAAAAATTGGGCTCCAGTTATATAATCTCTGGAAACGCCTGTTCAGTCAACCGCAGAAGCTGTTGCACGTTGCTGGCTCTACTACATCAGCTCACAGGGTGTAAAAACTAAAACCTACTTTATTGGTATTCTGAAGGGCTGTGGTGCTGCCCCGACTGAGCCGGTCCATCAACAGTAGAACCTGCTTTGTGGTTCTATCACAGTAAGAACTGTTTAATTCAAATTGTTTGAAACCATTTTCATAAATCAAATATATGAGACCGTGAAATAGTACATGAAATTAAAGAAATTAATTATAAAAGTTAAGAATAACAAAAATGAGATGTACAAAATAATTTTAATATAAATTATTTACGTTTTTTACCTCGGAGGCCAAGTGCGACCAGCGACTTGCGAATTGAGTTTAGGGAAGTACCCTTCGACAATGGGCTCTCTTAAGTTGGGGCCGAAAGGTACTACGCGGTTCAAATTGTTGCAGAATCGCTCGATGTCGTATCTGTAACCATAAAATTAATTATAAAATAATCTACAGTATTTAAAAAAGCAACGTGAATCTTTGTTCGTAAAAGGATCAAATAACTTGTATTGAATATTTAATTAAGAAATGATGATAGTTTCATGTGGGAAGGTGTCAAGCAAGATGTACCACTGGTCAAGGACATGCCTTTAAAATAGGAGGCACTGGCTAACTCACTCACCAGAAATAATATGAAACTATAATAATTTTACTTCACGCCGGTGCTTCACGTCCATCGTATTTTTTTAGGGAGAAATTTCAGGATTTCAAAATAAAATATTGTAAGGGTCCAGCCAACATAATCTCCACTGGTATATTAGCACCAAGAGGTTAAAAAAATGACAAAAAGATTTTGTTTCCGTTAGAGGAACCTCGTTACGAAACGGTGGTAGATTATAAAAAAAATTACTATCGATATATGAAATGTATTTTACTTATGTCGATGAATAAATGATTTAGATTTTTTGATTTTTTTTTACATTTTTTGCTACTTACATATCTATCAAAGTTTGCAGGAAGATTAGAATACCTTGATGAGTTCAATAGTATATAAAATCTCATATCACATCAAGTGTCTGAAGAATTGTACAAACCTGGCAATGATTTGTTGGTGCATGTAGTACAGCAGCTCCCCGCGACGGTCTTTGGCGACAATTGCGCGGTTGGCCGAATCGGATGGGTACACAAGGTGCCAATGCCAATGGTGCAGGTTGATGCCAATGTCTTCCCGGAAGTACGCGACACGCTGTTCTGGCTCCGCATCTGACGCAGTGAGGTTTTGCGGTATAACGACCGGCATCTGGGAAAGAGCAAAATGTCAACATACACCTGTTTTATGTCAATTTATTTATTTATTTGATCAGGCTTGTCTATTAAACACGCACTGAACGTATGGACTTTCACGATGATCATAATGATGAGATTTTAAACATAATAAGTAAAATTATAAACAGTTTTTATATCAGGTGAACATATCATTTATTCACAAGCTTTAATATTACAAATAATATTCAAATGAAATTTGACTTCTACTCAAACTACTAGGCTGCTGTTAAACTTCAAATTAAAAACATGTGTACATTTTCAGTGTAATATATGAGCTTCAACATTTTAGCATGGAGCACGAAATGTATCTGTTGTAACTGATAAGGATACTTTTACGGACGTTGGTGTTGTTAAGATTCTTATAAAAATAATAAAATATGACCAACATACATTTCCGGTGGCAGGGATTTAAGTCAAAATTTAACTAACAATTCGTAATTTTGAAAACTTCACCTTTTTCTTTTCACTCTCTTTAATCCTTTCCTACCTAGCCGTATGATCTAAAATTAAAAGAATTTTGCCAATGCGGTTATCTTTATACTATTTACAGTCTATTGTTACTGCGCTATAAATATTGCAATTACGTACTCTGGGACCAGTCTGTATTACGGAGCTGACCTCACGGGCGCTGCGGAATATTTTAGGGTCCATGAATTTGTCGGGAAACGTCTCTGTTATTGTGGGGATGTCCAAGCCTTTGGTGTCAGGTCTGAAAGGAAACCGTTAAATAGATTACAAAGGATTTAAAAAAAATGTATATGTTTACTTATGTACGCACGTAAGAAGCTAAGTATAGCTTTCTTTTGTTACGCTAAACAGTAGTTTTGCGTAATAACTTGGATTTTTAGGTAAGTGTCTTTCAAGTCTGAAGTTCTTCAGTTTAATATTTGTAAGAATATTGCTGTTTGTGCTTTTCCTTCGGCTCTGAACTATCTTTCTTCCTTCAGACTGTTGTTTGTGAACAATAAATGTCTGTAAGTAACGTGTGTACTCTTTCTTTTGTCATCTCTTTGCTTCAACTTGTCTGTCGCTTCGCATTCTATTGAATAGCCTACACCGACCCACACAGACACATGGCAGAACAATAATGGTAAAACCAGTGCAATAATATAACATAAGCTTCGAATGTTTCCTAATTCCATTCAATTCATCAACGATTGTTCGGCTTACCTGTGCAGAAGAGCGACAGACAAACAGTAATTGAACATGTAGGGGTTGATCCGAAGCTGGCAGTAGGAGCATATCGACAGCAGCTCATCGATGTCCCGCATGCCTGGACAATCAACATGAACATACCATTATACGTTTAGGAAAACCGTATCGACATTTGTCTAATAAGAAACGATGCGGTACGTCAAGGTTAGTGATAGCTTGTAAATTTATATATTTATTCCCTTTTTAGGGTTTCGTACACAAAGACGACCCTATTAGTAAGTAAAACGGGACCCTATTAGTAAAACTCCGCCGTCTGTCTGTCTGTCCGTCTATTATTAGGCTGTGTCTCATGAACCGTGATAGTTAGACAGTTGAAATTTTCACAGATGATATATTCTGTTACGCTATAACATATACTAAAATACAGTAAAAAGTATTTAAGAGGGGCTCCCATACAACAGACATGATTTTTTTACTAGTAACGGAACCCTTCGTGCGCGAGTCCGACTCGCACTTGGCCGGTTTTTTAACTGTGCTTGAATGGGCAGGCTTATCTGAGGAAGTACCCCCTTGCGACGATAATTGTATGGTTGTAAGGTTACAAGGAGGTTGGATGACCGCAACACAGAGGTTTTAATAATACAACATCAGATAAACCACTTGATTGATTGCCACTTCCTCACATATATCACGCTGAGTAAAATAAAACTCTCACTGGTTTTAATGATGCCCCATTGTGCAATAATATGTTATTAACTTGTTCTGTTTTAATAAAAAAACCTGTTTATTATAAGCTCCAGATGTGCTATAATTATCTAATTATATTCTACAATCGTTTGAATTTGGTATTTAGTAAAAATCCAGATGTGATCCAGATGTAATGTATGTATTAATTTAACATGATATAATTTACAAACTTAAATTTCTACAAAAATGTCTTGTGAACATATGAATGTGGTATTAAGTAAACATAAAACGATTAAGCAATACATGATGACAGTATTTCCATCTGAAAGAAGGTCAAAGAAATCAATTACCCATGAAGATGTCGATCAACCTGCTTGCCATCTGCCGGTGCTTGGGCACGAAAAGAGAGAACTGGTCTGTGTACGAGAGCTGTAGAGGTAGATCGAGATCAGGAAGTGTGATGCGCTTCACTGGGATCACGAGGGAGGCGTCGTTACCGAACCTATTGGCCAGAGTTTTGCTCAAGGGCTTGTACTTTTCCGGCTGCAAGAAGAAAAGAGACTTAAATATGACTGTATGCACGCAAAAGTCATCTTCTTCTTCTTCTCCTTTCTTTAATAAATGGAAAAAATTCTTCTCTTGAAAGCGCAAAAGTCTTACACGCAGTAGCACGAATGGATAGGTCCGTTCGGGGAATTACCATGACCTCACGAAAGACCGGATGATGTGGAAGTTTTATACTTCTGCGTTTCATCTGGTGAGTGGAGTAACCGGAGCCAACTTTATTAAAATGTGGCAACGCAGCTGCAACCCTACGGTAGTTGCGAATGTCCATGCGGAAGCGGTTCTCACTTAACGTCAAGTGAACCACCAGATCGCTTGCCACCATTCGCATTAAAAAATTGTTGCTTTTTAGAATCAGTCATGTAATCTTTATTACAAACATACATAAGTGCCGTGCAAACATACATGAATGACAAAATACCACTTACGTAAAAGTTTTCAGGTATATCGAAGATAGCCTTTTTTATACCCTTCTGCATGAAGCACGGCTCAGTTGGCCGTTCGAAGAACAGAAGTAGATTCTCTTTCGCGTTACTCATTTTACTTGAAGAAAGAAAATAAAAAGAAATAAAGTAAAGTAACAGCCTACACATATCCCACTGCTGGGCAAAGGCCTCCTTTTCATCGGGGCATATTCCACCACGCGGCCCCACTGCGGATTGGCGAACTTCACTATTTTTTATTTGTAATTTTATATTTTTCTAGAATTTCTGTGAATTGAACATTTTACTATGTCTTCTTGATAAGCCGAAGAAGTTGTACACAAAAAGATATAATTATTAAAAAGTTAAAAAGTTAAGTAACAGCCTATACATGTCCCACTGCTGGGCAAAGGCCTCCTCTGTACAGAGGGTATCAGGGCATAGTCCACCACGCGGCCCCACTGCGGATTGGTGGACTTCACATATTTTCGAAAATATATATATGCTATATATATATATATATTTTTTTTTTTTATTTATCAACATATTTTTTTACAATTATAATAATAAAACAAATATTACCTTCACCGTTCGTTTAGACCGCAAAACGTAGAACTAAAACTGATTGAACAATAAAAACAGCAAACTATTTTCAAAGGGTACTTTAGCTGTGAAATCCACAGTTTCATTGTGCAGTCGTTTGCTAATTAATGGTATTTATGCCGAACGTAAATCGCAAACCCATAAAATCTCATTAAAGCTGGAATAGCAATGACACTTATAGGGTTCTGCATATAATGTTTTTGCACAATATGATTTTTAACTTCCGATGAGCATTTAAAAATTAAACTGCAAAATTATATTTTATTAGTGATAAAAAAATGCAAATGTATCCTATATGGCTTCGGTATGTATTAATAATTAATAATTGTAAAACTGCCAAATTTTAATTTCAATTTGCACGAACCGATTATTATGTCACAGAATTTGGCGAAGAATAAATTATAAGTGGCAATTTATGGTACATATTTTATTTTGCTACTGTCATTATATAAGTAACTCATTAAACCTATGACTTAAAAAAGTAAAAAGAAAATTTAACTATTGATTTGTTACGGGGACTCCAAAATCAGGCCGTGTGCAGTTTAGCACCGGGTGTAAACAGGAAAATCCTGCGGTACGTTGCGGTCAAGTTAACGAATATGAAACTGCTATCAAGTTAGGTTAGGTTGAGGAAAGGATATTGTTTTGTCTGTATTGAAGATTCGTCTTGTACTCAGCATAAACTGCTACCATTTTTGAAGTCATAAATGAGTGATGATAAAAATTTATAATAATTAATAATAATAATACATATTTCAGGACTTATTTTTACACAAAGTTATCTAGTCCCAAACTAAGCATAGCTTGTGCTATGGAGACTATACCTAGTATCCATAGCACAAGCTAGTTCCCACTAATAAACATACTTTTTTTTTCTAAATAATAATATTACATGTTATACATATGTAAACACCCAGAACTGGAAAAACACTATGTTCATCACACAATATATTTCCGGTTGTGGGGATCGAACCTAGACCCTCTGGCGCAGAAGACAGGTCCACTATGTCAATTGGGCTGTCATGAATGTCACAAATGAGGCATCGCGTATTCGGTTCCCACACGAGACAAGTATTTGTGTGACCAACAGCAAATTGTTCCGGATCTGGTTGTTTGTTGCCAAGGAGGGTTGACGCCAGGCAGCCTGCCGGTCGTAAGGAACCAAGCCAAAACCACTCACAACATGATTCACGTTTAGCCGACCCCACCTAGCTGGGATACGGGCAGGAGGTGATGAAATGAGTGATGAAAATACACCATGGTGCAACGTAAAAAAAGAACAAATTTTTTGTAAAGGTAGCAATTAAAAAAATCGCCTTTGATATTTCATAATGAATGTCACTTGCGTTAATAATGCCTAGTGCCTGGAATTGCTGACCGTGAAGTGTGCAAAACACCGATTGATTGCTCTACTGGGATTGACATTCATCACGTGCTGAAATCAGCGTTTCACATTTTGGTTTTGGACCGGCTTCCGACGTATGACAGAATAACATTGTCGCGCTCTCTGCCCGTTAGTTTTATGTTATTAAGTAAAACCAGCATCTTCTGCTGTTGCACGAATGGGCAGACTTCCAAAGCTTGCAAGCTTTGACAACTTGGATATATACGGTGGGTGTAATAGTTTTATCAGTTATCACGGCCACTGCGTATGCGTGCCGTGTTGTGAGTGATAACGTAAAGGAGCAATGTTTTTTTTGTTTTTCATGCAAGAATAGTTGATTAAAAGAGCTAGTGAATTAAAAGATATGAAATACATCATCTGCAGTTTCGTCATGATATTGTTTTCATCATGTTTCTTATTTACAGCTTGCGTGGTATTAAAAATTCATGCAAGCTCCATTCTCTTTTAAGTAACCCACAGGAAATTTTCAGTGAAAAACAGTTTACGGATTTATTTCGTGGTTAATTTTGATTCCAAAAACCCAATCTTTCGAATAGATTGCAGCATGAATGGATTATCACCCAGGCTACCTGCCATTCGGTTGAATATTGTTTATTTAATTCCTATCCATGCAGTAAACGCTGTCTGGAACTTTTGCAGTGGTGGTATGTCTGGAGTTAATATTATTGATAACAGGATCCAAAGCCGTTAGAAATAACTTTTTCTTAATAACTTATCTTGTCGCAATTTTTGACCTCCATGCACGAAGAGTCTGTGTGATTTTACCATAGCTATGCCTCAACACTTTCCTGTGGTATGATTATGAGAATAACATTCCAACATAACAAATCGTTTTCCTTGTGTCTGTATATTTTCACTACTTCCATATCATTTCTACATCAATTAATTATATCCGTATAAGTCAAATCAAAGTATATTAATAATTACTTATATTAATAATTTGAGAAGGCGAGACTAAGCAAATAGGTACGGTTTGAAATTAGTTTCCTAGTCAAGTAAAGTAAATGCAAACTTGATTTCACATTTAATAATTGATCTATATTATAGTACTAATTAAAATTAAACTTTAGTAGTTAATTTTTGCTTGATAATTTAGACATATAGGGTTATAAGATACTCGTATCTTATTCAAACGTTTTATATTATACCTAACTTGCCTAAAAGTAATAAAAGTTTTAAGGCAAAATTATACAAGAGTTATCAGTGCGTACTTAGGAGCATATTTTGTGTTTTTGAAGTCAAGAAAACGAAAATGTCGTTATTCTAGAACTTTATTTAACCTTGTGTTATTGACTAGCGTCTCGGCTCGGTTTCGCTAAGATTCAGTTTTTCCTAGTCAATTTCTCAAGTGGTTAAAACCGTCGCATATTTAGCGTGTTAATAGTTATACATTACTAAGTACATATAATTACAGCCTGTCATTTTACCTGGAATAATGTACCTTTATATGGTAAGTCATTTTACAAATAGGATTAAAGATACACCCATCTTTAATCCATAAATGCAAGAACAATCTCACAAAATTCATAATGTTATTGATATTAGAGTCTGTGTTAAAAAAGAGATAATGAGACGTATACTTTTGGTTTTATATAAAATATTAAATGACTGTGGCAATACATTTATAAGTACTCGTAATTGTATTTTAGTAAGTGCTTATAATTGTATTGTATTGTTATAATAATACCGTTGCAAAAACCGTAGCAAAGCTATAAGCTTCGGCGTAGCGGGTTGTGGGTTCGACTCCCACATGGGACAAGTATTTGTGTGACCCACACATAATCGTTTCGGATCTCGGTGTTTGTTTCCCCAGTAGGATTGTTGCAGGCAGATGGCCGGTCGTAAAAACATAACGTAGCCAATACCACTTACAAGATGATTCATATGTTGTGCCTACCGCACTTAGTTGTGATTAGGGCAGGAGGATGATGATCATATACACTCATATTATTATACGGAACCCATGTATGTATACTTGCGTATGGATCCGAAATATATATAAATGAAAGAGCTCGAATAAAGTAGAAAAAAAGTTTTTTGCGTACGATTCCTACAGTTCTGATTCAACTTACAAAATACAGTAGCTGTATTCTCTTCGACTTGTATTAGATTGCGTATGATATATTTAGTACTTAAACTCCATATATCAGTGTTTCGTAAGCAATTGAAAACGCACCACTCTAGGACTATTATTAAATTAAACTGTATAGATGCAAACAATTAAATGTTTGGCGTAAATCATTAGTTTCGACTGATTGTGAAGTTGTTTGTGTTTAATTATTTTAATAAATGAAATGTTTTCCATGAGGTCCCACGTGTTTAGCAGTTCTTGCGAGGCGCGATTATAGAGTTATACTCGTATATTCAAGATGCATTCTCATAAAATTCTCTTTTTTCAGTCTACATTGAAGTAAATAACTTTGGAAATCTATCCGATAAAGAGCCTTGTGAGATTTTCATTATTGGACGTTAATTTTTTTCAAATTCTCGAACGAAACACGACATCTGCTGTCAAAGACATGAATAATTCAAATCCACGTTGGTGCATTTCAGCATCCGCGTAGGATACTGATATGCGGGATAAATTAAGACTCAACTTATTATCGAGTTCTCCCCATAAAAAATATGGTAAACCGCCAGTGAATTGATGATATTTACGAGTACTTTGCTTCTCATCTCGAGATCTTATGTCTCTGCGTTTTTAATTTGCCTCATTCAAATACTGGACTGCACTCTAAGTTCACGATTATGCTCTTAAAATTTTTCAATGTACCTTTTTAGATTTCCGTACCTTAAAAGGTAAAAAAAGAAACCCTTGTAAGATCATTCTCTTGTACGTTCGTCTGTCGGTGTGTCACAACCGATTTTCTCAGGAAGGAGTGGACCTAGCAAGTTGCAATTAAAACCAGACACTGGGGTGTATATCCCTACTAGGTGTATAAAAATCAAGGCACTGTACCTGTGCTGTATGACCTTGCTTTTAACAATAATTGACATTTCTAGATCAACCGGAAGTACCCTGGGTTTAAGGTTAAACCGATACGGTAGTTCCTGTTGACCTAGAATTACGAAATTTGGAAAAAAGCCGATCTGATTGTCCAATTATAAT